CTCTGATGAAATCACCCAAGCGCAGAACAGTCATCAATTACATCATCTCAATGCTAAAACGCTTTGCCTCATGCATCAGATTACTAGGGAACAAGCTAGTCAAATTCTTAAAAACTGCCCCTCATGTGCCACTCATTTGCCGGTCCCCCACCTTGGAGTAAACCCAAGGGGACTAATCCCTAATGCATTATGGCAGATGGATGTTACTCACGTCTCTGAATTTGGAAATCTTAAATATGTACATGTTATCATAGATACCTTTAGTGGATTCATTTATGCTTCCCTCCAAACTGGTGAAGCCACAAAACATGTGATCAGTCACATGCTAACCACATTTACAGTCCTGGGATGCCCACAGCAATTGAAAACAGATAATGGCCCAGGCTATACAAGTTCAGCCTTCTCCGAATTTTGCAAACACCTCAATATTCACATATAACAGGTATACCTTACAACCCTCAGGGCCAAGGGATTGTAGAGAGAGCACATCTGTCCTTAAATATCACCATTAATAAAATAAAAAAGGGGGAATGGTACTCCACGAGGGGGTCACCCAGAAATATTCTCTCTCATGCCTTATTTATCCTCAATTTTTAAAATTTGGACACTGATGGGCGATCTGCTGCTAATCGCTTTTGGCATACAGAAACTCAAAAACAATTTGCCTCAGTATTGTGGAAAGATCCCTTGACTAGCTCTTAGCATGGCCCACACCCAGTCCTCATCTGGGGCCGAGGTTCTGTATGCATTTACTCTAAGAAAATGAAATCTGCCAGATGGCTACCAGAGCGTCTGGTTAAACAGATTGATTAAGTTAAAGGAATAACAAATAACCATATAGATAACTCCAGGGACGAAAATTCGCCGAGAGCCTTTTCGTGTTTTTTCTTTATTTCAGGAATGGACCGGAAGGCTGAAATCTTACTGCAGGGATACTACTGCACCTTTGCCTGCTTGTGGAAGGAGGTTTTGGGCTTCCTCCAAACCCTGAGGAGCTCCTGAGGGCCTTATTTGGCCCCCCATGGGACTGCCTTGCAGGAACGCTGCTGCTTAAAAGAGCTTTTCGATAACCCCTTTTGGAGCGGGCTAAATGGGGTGCTGCCTTATCTTCTCCCTCTGTTGGGCCCCTTACTTGGCCTTTTACTGATTGTGTCACTAGGACCTTTCCTCTTCAATAAGGTGATGGCTTTCATCAAGCAGCAGATAGATGCCATTAAGATGCAACCTATACAGGTCCACTATCATAGACTTGAAATGGCCGACAGAGAAGCTCACTAGCTGTGAGTCAATAAGCTATGACTATGCCCGAGATGGCAAATAGTGAGTCTCAAAAACCTTGTCACCTTGGTGCGCTGGACTGGATAGCCAGAGACGGGCAACTGGAACTCACACGCATCGCCAACCACCACCTAAGACAGGAACAAGGCCTTATGCTGCCTTGCTATTCCAATGACGGGTTCGGACAGGTTGGCACCATGTGCAAGTTTCCTGACCTAAGACAGGCACAGTCCCCTCAAGGTATTATTTTGGCCTTAAAATTAAAGAAAAGGGGGGCCTGTGGGAGACTATTTGCATGGCATCCATTTTGTTAAAATCTGCTCTGCCATCTCCTGCCCCAAGGCAGGATACCTCTGTATACAATGTTTCTGCATTCCTTTAAGTAACCATTTACTCAGCCAGTTATGCCTGTTTATCTTTTGTTCCACCCAGAATATTTACTTGAAATTGCTTCGGTGTGGTTACTACAAACTTATCGCTTGGCAACAAATGTTCTTGTTTTTCTGCTTCTTGCCCTATATATTGTGTGGATCTCCCCAGAATAAACGATACTTGATCAGAGCCCTGTCTTGTATCCATTTCTTGTGTCTCTTGTCCCTCCTCATCCTCACTCTCCGTCTAGAGTCCTCGTTGCTCGACCTGCGGGATGGGTCAGTGTCTTTTTATGAGAGCATTCAATCCATTTACATTTAAGGTGATTATTGATATGTACTTATTTATTGCCATTTTTGTTTAGTGTGGTTCTATTTTTCTTCCCACTTCTCCTGCTAATTACAGTAGTCCTTTTAACATGTCTTTCAGTGCTGGTTGGGTGCTAATGTATTCCCTTAGCCTTTTTTTTTGACTGAGAAGCTCTTTATTTGGGTTTCCATTTTTATTGATAGCCTTGCTGGGTAGAGTAGTCTTGGATTCAGATCCTTGTTTTTCATGACCTTGATTACTTCATGCCATTCCCTTCTGGCCTGTAGTGTTTCTTGTGAGAAGTCAGCTGAGAGCCTTATGGAGGTTCCTTTGTAGGTAACCTGTTGCTTATCTCTTGCTGCTTTTAGGATTCTCTCTTTGTCTTTAATTTGTGGCATTTTAATTACTATGTGTCTTGGTGTGGGCCTGTTTGGGTTTTTCTTACTTGGGGCTCTCTGTGCTTCTTGAACTTAAATGCCTTCTTCCTTCACCAAATTAGGAAAGTTTTCTGTCACTATATCTTTGAATATATTCTCTAACCCTTGCTCATTTTCTTCTTCGGGGACTCCTATGATGCAAATATTATTCCGTTTCCAGTTGTCCCACAGTTCTCTTAAGCTGTCTTCCTGTTCTTTTAATCGTTTTTTCCTTTTGGTTTTCTGATTGGTTCATTTTTCTACCCTGTATTCTAATTCACTTATCTGGTCTTTAGCTTCCTCTACTCTGCTTTTTTAGACCTTCCAATGTGTTTTTCATTTCTGATGTCATTTTTAATTTCCAACTGGTTGATTTTCAACATTTCTATGTCTTTACTCATGGTGCTCATGTCCTTACACATGCTGTTGAGCTTCCTCAAGATCATGGCTCTGAATTCTAGTTCTGTTAACTTGCTTAACTGCACCTCATTTATCTCATCTTCGGTAGAGGTCTCTTGTTCCTTCATTTGGCTTTTGTTTCTGTTTTTCACCATTTTGGCTATCACAGTGGGCTTTGGAGTCTGCCAAGTTTTTCCTGTGGGTGTTGGTGTTTTGCTGTTTGTGGCTTCCTCTCCTGGGTTTGAATGAGGCAAGGAGGACCCACTTTAAACACCACTGTCAAGTCTTAACTTTCCTCTAGCCTTTTTTTTACCTGGAGGCTATTAGTTGAGGTCACCTGAAGAACCTTGGTTTCTGAGTTGCCTGAAAAACTACCTTAGGTGCTCAGTGTAAGAGGATTTCCCGAGGGTGGGGCAGATGCTGGTTGTTAATGGGCCTCAATTAGCATTTCAATGGTCACCAGGTGGGGTTGAATCTCCAAGAGAGGGGCCACTGCCTCTCCACAGGGCCCTGGGAAGGAGTAAGATAACCACAGTCCTGCGTGGCTGCACTCAGCAAAAGTTCTGAGCACCCTCCAAATCCCGAGTGTCCCCACACAGTTCCAGTCCAGTCTGCCTTCCCTCTGCCGGAGCCCAAGGTGAGTGGCTGCTGGCAATTTAGCTTCTGTCCAGACTCTGCGTTGTGGAGCCGCCTGGGACTTTAACCCGAGGGCGCTGCTCCCAGCTAAGGGCGGCCGAGTCTGGGAGTCTGCAGCACCAGCCGAGGGCATGGCACCCAGCCGAGGCGGAGGAAGCTTCCAGCCGAGTCCCCTTGTCCCAGCTGAGTCTGCTGGTCCCAGCCCAGGCCACTGCAGACCGTGGGCTCCCGGCCCCCTCTCACGTCCTCGCAAGCCTACCAGGATTCAGTCAGTGTCCCTGGTTATATGGTCCTCCAGGCTGCCTTTCAGTTGCCCCTTCCTGACGATTTGTCTTTATTTTCGTTGTAATTCCAGTTTGGTCCCGGGAGATGGTCTGTGTAGCTCCATTCGCTCCGCTGCCATTTTTTTGCTACTCTGACATGTATTTCTTAATTTAATCGTTATGATACTCCAATGAGAGAACTACTATTATTATTCCTACTTGGCAGATGGGTATACTGAGGCTTGGAGAACTTAACTACATATGAAGTCTATCAATAGATGACCATAATAGGAAGGGATTAAAACTGTAGCAGAAAGTAATTTTTATTTATTTATTTATTTATTTTATCCTCACCTGAGGACATTTTTCCATTTTTTGCACAGATAGAGTGGGAGGGAGAGAGAGGAAGAGAGAGAGAGAGAGAAACATCGATGTGAAAGAGACACATCGAGTGGCTGCCACCCGCACGACCAACCAGGGCTGGGGGACAAACTGCAACCGAGGTACATGCCCTTAGCGGGAACCGAACCTGGGTCTCTCTGGACCGCAGGCCGATGCTCTAACCGCTGAGCCAAACCGGCCAGGGCCAGAAAGTAATTTTTATTTAACCACAGAGAACCTGATAATGATAGTAGTAGCAGGTACAGAAATCAATATTCCTATTTTTCAAGGGGATAAAATTATTATGCCTAGAGGCCATTGTGGCTGGAGTGCCAGTAGGCATTTTGGTGATTGGGGGCCAAGGATTTCTGAGCAGAATGGTTGTTCATCCCTAGAAATGTAAAGCAAGTCTGTGAATGGCTGGTTTTAGATTAAATTAAACAGTCCTTTACATCTGCTACCTATGCAGTCCTTTAAAAGGTCCCATTTCTGCAACATAAGTAGTAGAGCCCTTCTTGGAGTTCCTGCTCTTATCACAGCCATCCAAATTCAGAATGTAAAAACCTAAAGTACAGAGGCTTGGTTATGTATTTAATTCTTTCATGGGCAATACCAATAAGTAAATAGCTCTGTTTAATAAAGCTCAAAGATTGCTACTTGTAACGTGCATAGCCCAAAAGTCCTACATTCTTAAAATTAATGTATACAATACTCATCTGACTACTCATAGAAAATTTAAAATAAGTTGTTATTTGTAATATTCACCATAATGATCATCATAGATATGCTTATTAAACACTAAAAAATCTGTTATTGTTAATGTAAAGGATTCAGCCAGGTAATATAATTATGTAAAACTTTAAATAATACATAAATATTAAAAGTTATCTACCTTTCTTGTCTTTATTATATGTTTTCCCATATTCCCCAAAGTAAAAACACATACCTGTTTTTACATGTCTTGTATTCTACTTTAAGAATTGGTTTACAAGATTCAGATTTTCTTCCTTCTCTTTGACTTTTTCCTAAAGAAAGAAAAAGCATTTCATTAAATCTGATTTAAATTCTACTCATCCATGAGAATTAAATAGTTTGACTATAAGAATATAAAGAAAAAATGCAATTATGCATTTTTCCTAAGATAAACATATGTCTATGCAACATAACATTTTTGTTGAATTTTAAACAGTTTATTGTTTATAATAAACAACTGACTGCTATCAAATCAATAAAGTTACATGTAAACTTATAAAATTGGTACTGCTTTATATTCTCCATGTATAAATAGAGTCTTATGTAAGATTATTATTATTTTTTTAATCCTCATCTGAGGACATGCTTTTATTGAGTTTAGAGGAAGGGAGAGGGAGAAAGCGAGAAGAGAAGAAACATTGATGTGAGAATGAAACATTGATCGGTCACCTCTTGCATGTGCTCTGACCAGGGATCCAACCTGCAATCCAAGTATTTGCCCTGACCAGGAAATTGAACCCACAACCTTTTGGTATATGGAACAATGCTCCATCCAACTAAGCCACACGAGCCAGGGCTAATTATTTAAGTTTCAAGAAAAAATAAACAATTTTTGAATTGAAAAACATATACATATTTATGCACAAAATGAAATATATAACTATGAAATAAATATCCACACTAGGCTCAACATTTTATCTATAATACAAGCAAACCCCATTCAAATGCAGAAAACAATGCTATTCAAAACTTATGACAGACTATCAAAATCATTGCATTTTCATTAAATTCATTTAAAGTAAAGTCCATTAGATGATAAACACAGATGGTACATTTCATGATTTTAAAAAGTAAATTTAGAGACTTCCGGTCAAGATGGCGGTGTTGGTAAACATGGTATCATGTCCTCTCATAACCACATCAAAGTTACAACTAAACTACAGAACAACCATCATTCAAAACCACCTGAAATCAAGCTGAATGGAAGTCCTACAACTACGAAATTAAAGAAGCCACATCAAGACTGCAATCAAGACTCAATTACAACAGAAGGGTGTAAAGTTCACACAAGGGGTGCACCTCGAGGGCCCAGCTGAAAGATCAGAAAGGTTGTGCCACTGGACCCTACAGGATACCTACTACAACAGGCCACCCTAGGAAGTGCATAAGACATAGCAACTCTACTTAATATACAGCAACAAACACTGGGAGGCATCCAAAATGAGGAGACAAAAAAAAGGTCCCAAATGAAGGAACAGAACAAAACTCCAGGAAAACAACTAAGTGAAATGAAGAGGAAAAAATGGCGGCAGAGTGAACGGAAGCTACACAGACCGTCTCCCAGAACCGAACTGGAATTACAACTATAACACAGACAAATCGATGGGAAAAACCAACAGAAAAGCAGCTTGGAGGACCATATAACGAGGGACACTGACTCCATCCCGGTAGGCTTGCGAAGGCGTGAGACAGGGGGTGGGAGCCCACGGTCGGCAGCTCGGCAGCGGCCTTAGCTGGGAGCGGCGCCCTCGGGTCACACTCCCAGGCGGCCCCACAGCGCAGAGCTGGGAAAGAGGCTAAAACAGCCACAGCCACTCACCTTGGGCTCCGGCAGAGGGAGGGCAGACTGGAGCTGTGTCGGGACACTCGGGATCTGGAGGGCGCTCAGAGCTTTGGCTGAGTGCAGCCACTCAGGACGGTGGCCACATTGCTCCTTCCCAGGGCTCTGAGGAGAGGCAGCAGCCCCTCCCTCAGAGATCCAACCTCACCCTGTGGGCCATTGAAGTGCTCATTGAGGCTCACTAACAACCAGCATCTGCCCCACACTCGGGAAATCCCCTTGTGCTAAGCACCTAAGGGAGCTTTTCAATCAACTGACAACCCAAAACTCATCAATCAACCTAGACTGCTAGCCTCCAGGCAAAAAGCTAGAGGATAACAGTACGTTTCCTGGGCTGGCAACTTTAACCAGGAAAGTAAGACTTGACAGTGGTGTTCAACATGGGTCCTCCCTCGCTCATCTAAACACAGGAGAGGGAGCCACAAACAGCAGAACACCAACACCCACAGGGAAAACTTGACAGGCTCCAAAGCCCACAGTGAAAGCCAAAATGGTGAAACAGAAACAGAAGCCAAATGAAAGAGCAAGAGACCTCCACCGAAGATGAGATCAATGTGGAGCAATTAGGCATGTTAACAGAGCTAGAATTCAGAGCCATGATCTTGAGGAAGCTGAAAAGCATGAGTAAGGACATAGAGACACTGAATATAAGCCATTTGGAAATTAAAACCCAACAAGAAGAGATAAAAAATAATATATCAGAAATGAAATACACATTGGAAGGTTTAAAAAGCAGAGTAGAGGAAGCTGAGGACCGGGTCAGTGAAATAGAAGACAGGGTAGAAAAAATCAACCAATCAGAAAAACAAAAGGAAAAAACTATTACAAAACAGGAAGACAGCTTAAGAGAACTATGGGACAACTGGAAACGTAATAATATTCGCATCATAGGAGTCCCCAAAGAAGAAGAAAATGAGCAAGGGATAGAGAATATATTCAAAAAAATAGTGAGAGAAAACTTCCCTAATTTGGTGAAAGAAGGCATTAAAGTTCAAGAAGCACAGAGAGTCCCAAGTAAGAAGAACCCAAACAGGCCCACACCAAGACACATAGTAATTAAAACGCCACAAATTAAAGACAAAGAGAGAATCCTAAAAGCAGCAAGAGATAAGCAACGGGTTACCTACAAAGGGAACCCCATAAGGCTCTCAGCAGACTTCTCACAAGAAACACTACAGGCCAGAAGAGAATGGCATGAAGTAATCAAAGTCATGAAAAACAAGAATCTGAATCCAAGACTATTCTACCCAGCAAGGCTATCATTCAAAATAGAAGATCAAATAAAGAGCTTCCCAGACAAAAAAAAAGGCTAAGGGAATACATTAGCACCAAACCAGCACTGGAAGAAATGTTAAAAAGACTGCTGTAATTAGCAGTAGAAATGGGAAGAAAAATAGAACCACACTAAACAAAAATGGCAATAAATAAGTACATATCAATAATCACCTTAAACGTAAATGGATTGAATGCTCCCATAAAAAGACACAGAGTAGCTGATTGGATAAGAAAGCATGACTCATCTATATGTTGTTTACAAGAGACCCACCTCTCAACAAAAAGCTGGGGTAGCTATTCTCATATCTGATAAAATAGATTTCAAAATGAAGACCATAACTAGAGACAAAGAAGGCCACTACATAATATTGAAAGGATCTATCCAACAGGAAGATATAACCTTGATAAACATATATGCACCCAATATAGGAGCACCAAAATATATTAAAAACCTTCTGGAGGACTTCCAAGGAGAAATCGACAACAATACAATCATAGCAGGGGACTTCAACACCCTGTTGACAGCACTGGATAGATCCTCTAGGCAAAAAATTAGCAAGGAAACAGAGACTCTAAATGAAGCACTAGACCAAATGGATTTAATAGATATCTACAGAGAATTACACCACAAAACTACAGAATACACATTCTTCTCAAGTGCACATGGGACATTCTCAAAGATGACCACATGATAGGACACAAACTAAATCTCTACAAGTTCAAGAAGACTGAAATCATATCAAGCATCTTCTCAGATCACAATGGCATGAAACTAGAAATCAATTGCAACAAGAACATGCAAAGACATTTCAACACATGGAGGCTAAATAGCATGTTATTAAACAATGAATGGGTCACCGAGGAGATCAAGGAAGAAATTAAAAACTTCCTGGAAACCAGTGAAAATGAACACACAACAACACAAAATCTATGGGATGCAGCGAAAGCAGTTCTGAGAGGGAAGTTCATAGCACTACAGGCCTACCTCAAAAACAAGAAAAATTTCTAATTGACTGTCTAACCTCACAACTTAAAGAATTAGAAAGCAAACAAAAAAAAAACCCCAGAGCAAGTAGAACGAAGGAAATAGTAAAGATCAGAGCAGAAATAAATGACATAGAGACCAAAAAAACAATTCAAAGGATCAATGAATCAAAGAGCTGGTTTTTCGAAAAGATAAACAAGATTGATGGACCCTTAGCTAGACTACCAAGAAACAAAGAGAGAGAACCCAAATACACAAAATCAGAAATGAAAGAGGAGAAGTAACAACCAACACCACGGAAATACAAAAGATCGTTAACAACTACTATGAACAACTATATGGCAACAAATTCGACAATCTAAGCGAAATGGACAAATTTCTAGAAACACACAGTCTCACAAAACTATTCCCGGAATAGATAGAAAACTTGAACAGACCAATAACAACTAAGGAAATTGAAGATGTAATCAAGACTCTCCCAGCAAACAAAAGCCCAGGCCCAGATGGCTTCATGGGGGAGTTTTACCGAACATTGAAAAAAGAACTAACACCCATTCTCCTCAAACTATTTCAAAAAATTCAAAAAGAAGGAAGACTTCAAAACACGTTCTATGAGGCCAGCATAATTCTAATTCCAAAACCAGAAAAAGACACTACAAAGAAAGAAAACTACAGGCCAATATCCCTGATGAACATAGACGCCAAAATCCTGAACAAAATATTAGCAAATCGGATCCAGAAATACATCAAAAAAATTATTCACCATGACCAAGTGGGATTCATTCCAGGGATGCAAGGCTGGTACAATATTAGCAAATCAATAAACGTGATACACCACATAAACAAAATGAAGAATAAAAACCACATGATCATATCAATAGATGCTGAAAAAGCATTCGACAAAATCCAGCATCCATTTCTGATAAAAATGCTCAGTAATGTAGGAATAGAGGGATCATATCTCGACATAATAAAGGCCATATATGAAAGACCTACAGCCAACATCATACTCAATGGACAGAAACTAAAAAAATTTCCATTAAGAACAGGAACAAGACAGGGATGTCTACTTTCACCACTCTTATTTAACATTGTACTGGAAATCTTAGCCACAGCAATCAGACATGAAGAAAAAATAAAAGGGATCCAAATTGGAAAGGAGGAAGTGAAAC